GTCGATCTCGTCGCGGCAGACGGTCTCGGCCCAGCGCCGAAAGAATCCCCTCGCCAGCTTCTCGCACAGATGCAGCTCGCAAGCTCGTCGGTGTCGCTTGGGCAGCTCGATGTTGCGCGCCAGCCTCGAGTAGTCCTCGTGCGTCAGTAGTTTTGCCGCCTCGTCGGCCGGCAACAGGATCAGGTCGTGCAGCGACAGACTCGAATCGCCGTCCTTGATCGTTATCTCTTTGGCTTCGCGCGCGAACTCCCTGTCGGCGCACCAATTACCCTCGCTCGGCTTCGTCTTCTCGTACAGTCCGTGCCAGTCGAACAGCCTGACGATGGTCATGGGGTCCGGCTTGTATCCTCCCCTCTCCAGACTCTCGACGACGCCCAACAGTCCCGCGGCTATTCTCAATCGGCGGTTCCCGTCGCGTCGATCGAACGACCATCCGCGGCTGGCGAAGTCGCTCGGCCGATCGGGAAATCGAAAGCTCGCGAGATCGGCGCCGTGCTCCAGCAGTATCTTCACCGCGCGGGGCCTCAGCTTCCTCACGGCCCACTGCAGGAACGGTGCCGCGTCGACCCTCACGGTCTGCTTCAACTCGTCGTTCACTCGAAAAAACGCCTCCAGCAGTTCATCGTCGTCCCTCTCGAGGCAGCTCTGCAGCAGGCTCGTGCCCGACTTGTTGACGCGATTGGGCTCGGCGCCCCGCCTCAGCAGCAGCTCGATCGAGTCCGCGCCACCTCCGCTAATCATGGCCATGTGCAGCGGCGTGTTGCCCCTCTCGGCCTCGCGTATGTCGATCGGCACCCGCTGGCCCAGCTCGTCGCACACCTCGAGGAACAGCCTGGCCAACTCGTGCGCCGGCCCCGCCTCCCGCCAGGGTATCGCGTGCAGCGGCACGAAGTCGCCCTTGACCAGCAGATTGGGCTGGGCGCCACCCCTCAGCAGCAGCTCCACCACCTCGGCTCTGTTCTCGGCCATGGCGATGTGCAGGGGGCGATCGCCCGTGCCCAGCACCGGCGCGTCCGGATCCAGACCGAGCTCGAGGTAGCCGGCGACGATCCGGCGACAGCCCGCCACGCAGGCCGCGTGAAAGTGCATCCAGCCCTCGCGATCGGCGTAATTCGCTCGGCAGTCGTCGTAGATCTCGAAGAGGCCGCGTAATAATCCGTCGCGGCGTCGACGATCCTTGACGCGGAGCGCCCGATGCACTGGCGTGACAACGCGCACGATCTCACTGCTGTTGTTGCCGCCGCCGCCGCTGCTCGACTCGACTCTGTGCTTGTAGCCGCTTCGGGCCACAAGCTCGACGAGCTCCAGGCCGCGGCGCTCGTGAACGCACGCGTCCCAGAGCAGACGCTCGATCTCCGCGGGCTGGTAGACGTCGCGGATGTTCTGGCCCTTCCTCTTTGGATCCTCGAGGCGGGAAAAGACCGCGTCGATGTCGTACGATCGATGCTCCGTACGTATTTCCGAGCGTGAATTATTATTATGCAGCAGAGTCGCAGTGCGCGCCGCGTACGATGGAATCGATCGGCGTCCGTATGGATTGTAGACCACGGACGGCATCGTTGCGCGGGCCACTATTTATTTATTTCTTTTCTCACAAACAAAAACAAAAACAAACAAAAAACAAACAAACAAATCACTGATCGCTCGGCGATCGTGTGTATACAATTTGTGGGTTGTTCACTCCGCGGCGTCGTGATACGTACTGAAAGCACGTGGTTCGGTAGTAGCTGTATTATAAAAATATAAGCGAACAGCTGTTTGTCCCCGCGGAGTAGTTTTTAGGGGCCTCACGTTATAATGACGTCAGTGGCACGATAATATACAGCGATATATAGAAACGGCTCCGTAGGCATGTGTAGCCGACTTACACGCGTCATGCGAGATGTATAGAGAAAGCAAGAGCGAAACGCGAGACAGAGACATTGCAAAACATTACGGTATAGGCTTCTTGTATATCGTGACGTGAATCGTGGGTGCGACTGCTGCTGCCGCCGCCACTGCGATCGTCGCGTCATCGTCGTCAGCGCGACGTCGATCGTTGATCTCCAATTTTTTTCAAAGTTTTTGGACTAATTACTCTCCCCCACCACCTACTCTGCGACTCGAGTCGGTACGGTGAGACGCGATGTCGTTCCGTTTCTTCCCGTGTTTGGAAATTATTTTAAACAAATGTTAATGCGAAACGAGCCATTAAAAAAAAAAAAAAAAAAACATCGATCGTATGCATGGGTTTTTTTTTGCTCTCTAGATACGTAATCTGTAATTATTTTGAGGTCAAAGCGACACACGTGCGAGAATCGAAAAATAAAATTCCAAACGGTTCTTCTGCAGACTTTAAGAGTTTTTTGACCTCTGCATTACTTTCTTATAAGTTCATTTATATTTTTTAAGTATTTATTGATTGATTCACCTCCACTTGAGTATAACCATTTTTATATCTTCTGTAGAATTAATACTTACTAAAACGAATGTAAAACGCATTAACAAAATTTTTCGAATCGATTATATTGCGGCCTCGAAATTTCATGTGTAAAGAAACAATTTTCGTAGATACGTTTTGGATACAAATTTCCCAATGATCTTACTCGAGCTTTTCCGTAAAAAAGCTCCACCCGCGATTCGCATCCTTAAAATACTCACCCGTTTACATGGTATCTTGACGCCGCTGTATACGTGCTACACCGTATATATGTATTATATACGCCGCACAGAAACGAATGTAGAAAGGAAGATGGTCAAGGTGTCGCAGAGCCATCGGCTGGAATTTTCGCTCGCTTTACGACGTGGACGTGTGGCTACACACAGCTAGATATACCGCCCCACACCATTGCACTGTATATATTCGCGCGTCGTGTGTACGAGACCTAATCTTGGAAACAATGCAGAGGAGGCAGTAGAGAACCGAGCCGATTGACATAGCTCGCGAGCTTTATCGCCTCTTCAGCTCGCTTTTGTGGGGGCGCATCCAAGTCCTAAAATGTCATCCTCGTGCGCGCGGCCTTATATACGATATCGTATATATATAGGAGCTCGAGCCGCAATCGCGTCGATCCTCGAGGCCCGCGCAGAGATCTACCCGCTGTTTGTGTATTATACGTGTGTGCATACGAGATACGCCTGTACAGTAGTTATATGCAGCGGTGCGGTTTATTGCCCTCGAAGACCACCATATCCTCTCTCTCTCTCTCTCTCTCTCTCTTATAAGCTTTAACGGTCGCGCTCACAACTGGCCGCGTCGAGCATTTCTCTTCCGCTCGAATCAAAGTCTAATTCGAGGCATTCCGTGCCTCGACGAGGGCGCGCGCCATAAAGCACGAGCGATGCAGAATCGTAGATTTTCGACGAAGCGAGGAGCGAGATATGTTACACTTGAAGCTATACATCGTATCTTTTTTTTTCCAATTTTTTTTCTCTCTCAACACTGCTGTCACACTGACCCGAAACCCCGACTCGCTCCTCCTACTCCTCCTTCTCCTCCTCGACGCGCTAATGATTAGCTTTCCTTCGAGGGCGAGCTGGGAGACGAGAGTACGCGACGATAGTTGGGTTTTACACGCTGCACGTATATCTATTATAAGTAAAAGTACCTATTAAATCCCAAAGCTCGCAAAAGCTCGTGTGCTCGCGCGAGCAGCTCGTTATCGAGCTAACACTTGGCGCGTATAGGTACGCGCTGCTCTCCTCTCGCCAATAATGTACTTACATTATTTTCTATAGCTGTCGTAAAATTACATTCTTACGGAGTTGGAAAATTTTCTCTCTCTCTCTCTCTCTCTCTTTTCCCCATCCAATTTCCAAAGCTTTCTTAATTTTTCTTTCTTTCCTTTTTTTTTTTTTGTTAACTTCTTACTTTTAATCTTATACCGTTCTTACCTTTGAACGCTCGAGACGTGCTAATCCGAATCGTTGAACAAACGTGCGAATTAAGCAAACGACTAATTTCGCGCACTTGAATCGCTGTATCAAAAGTACGTCTAACATCTGTAGGGTACTTATACCAGTGATTGACCGCTTTCGATCTGTAAATGACTACTTTTGGATGTGCAATAATTATCGTTTTTCCTTGTTAAATTATGATCGAACATAGAAAACAAGAAGCATCCTTCACTAAAGAATTGATTTACGTCCATACAAATGTATTTTTAATTGTTTTTCATATGATATTTTCCAATATGGTGCGCTCGCGCTCGCTCCGGCAAGTATGGCAGAGAGAGCTGTGGCTTATACACGCTCTTCATATACGGCCTTTTCCGTTACCCGCGAAAACTCTTTTTCATTTGAATTTGAAACACAAAAAAACCTCGCTCATGTCTCTACGTACCGGAAATAGTAGTTCCCTTAAATGACCCCATAAAAATTTGAAAATAAAAATTTTCAAATTTGCCTATAAATAGTTGTCAGAATATGTTTGATTTCATTACAACCATAGCTCATTGAGTAATTATTCAACAGTGGATTGACTAGACCTTTCAACAATTAGAAAAATAAAGAATTTGCGAGCTTGATGTGAATAATAAGGATAAGACTGTCATACTTGATCTTTTGAAAAAAGTATTACCACCATTTTGAATTACTGTACGATAAACTTTTCAATTTGATATAAAGTTTGAAAAATAAATATTTCAGTTATGCTGAATAATTGTCAGAATATATTTGATTTCACTCGTATCATAGCTATACAATTGAACAATGGTGGATTATTTGATTATTTAATTTGTTTATTATTGGGACCGTGGGGTATAAACCCCATACGGTCCCAAGGCAGATTGATACAGATAGTAAGAATTGAAATTAACATAAAGATAATAATAGAAATTTTTAGCAGATAGGTACAAGATACAACAATTAAATGTATATACAACAAGACATCAGATGCACATACAACAATTAAAATAGATTGTACAACAACTAAATTAGGACTAACAACAATATGTACATATTTACAAACAGAAGCACGAGTGCGCAGTAACAACCGCACCGCTCCAGAGAGCAATAAATGATTAAAATTCGTCCGCGTCCAAATCAGCCGAGCGCTGGCTTCGGCATTTGTTTCTGTATTTTGTGCGAGCCTTAAAAGCTGCAGCATTCGCCAAAGTTTTCTGAAGTTTAGGGACTTTCGTTGCTGGATCTTCAACGGGTGCAATGATTTTATTGCCCAGATCAAACACATCTCTGAGCACTTGATTTTCAGCCAAATGAATGTTGATGCCGGGCCCGAGTAATCTGCAAAAAGCATTGTATCGAGAGCGAGCGCACCAACCGTTCAAGAGTAATGTCTCTTTTCCAAATCTAATCCGAGTTTCCGGAGCGATATCTTCCTCGATGTAGCGCAGAATATCTCTGAAGGTAGCTCGCTGAATGGTCTTGTCTTTCTTCGCCCTGGACTTGCTCGAATCGGTGGCCAATTCCTTCAAAGTTTCGACCAATTCTTCGGCCCAGACTCGCTCGTAATCATCCGAATGGCCTCGTCCCAGCTCGAAGATCACGGCCAATGCCTCGCCCGCTGTCGTGCGCACGTCCAAATGAGGAGATCGAAGCAATCCGCTCAACTGATCGAGAGACGGCACGGAGGTATTCGTTCGTGCGCTCTTCAGTAAATTATTTACGGCACCGGAATTCATCGTGGTCAATAGCAATGTCCAAGACGAAACGGCGGAAGCGTGAAGTGCAGCGAGCTCGGGTGTAACTTTTGCCACGACATCGTCTCCCTTCGGATAAGAACCAGCGAATACGTTGGACAACAGCTGACTCAACTCGAGAAATTCGCCGAGATCTTTGCCGGACAGAAATTGATTCATGCCGAGAGACCAGCAGCACTCGGTCCTGCCAGCGATCGAGGCCGCGTTATCGTTGGCAATTTTCATCATCGTCGCTTTGAGATCTTTGTACACGTCCTCGGCGCAATCGCCGAGTTGAGCACACATCAAGGTACTCAGTTTGGCAGCGGCGCTTCGTTCCTCACCTCTGCCCTTTTTTAAGCTTCTCTCGATGGCGTCCGCGAGCGTGAACTTTCGCCCCTCGATGAAATCCGGCACGCATTTGTCCGTAAAAGACTTGCCGACCTTGAGGTAGTGAGACACTCGGCTCTGGGCGGATTTGGACGTGAGCCCGTCGATATCGTCATCGCACGAGACTTGCTCGTAATTCTCGTCTACGTCGTTTTTATCGTTGTTACTAGCCTCGCTCGGGACGTTGTCGCGAGCGTCCGAAATGCAGCTGCCGGTATCCGTCGCAGATTCGTCAGCGGAGTCGGAATTGTTGCGCCTGCCGGCTTTTCCTCTCTTGCTTTTGCCTGGCATCTTGATAATATCAACGTATTGTTTAGATAATAATTCAAAGTACTGTTCTTTGGATTTTAAATATTTTTGTCACAACACGTGGTAAATGGTGAAATACACTGTCGTATAACTTCTTCCGACTGCACCTGTACACTAAAGGCTATTTAAAACACATGGCACAACTTTCACTTTTTCCAAGAAAATCACTTGGAGAGATCGATCCGATCAAATTTTAGATGTTCACCCAACGGCTTTGTAATTACTACTGACTTTATGTGCACTATACGATCTATGTAGACATCTATAAAGAACTTGTAACGCTACGCGCGGAATTCAAAATATCGTATAAACGAATACTTGTTTCGTTAATCATAATAGAGGTATCTTTATCAAATTTATAATAAATAAAACAAAAACAAAACAATTTAAATAAAATAATTTATTTGTTTACTAGAATATTATTATTTTATTCATCCTTTACATAAAATAACGATGCAATTTGCATAAAATCGCTAGTGGTTTTAATTAATAATTGTTGTATCGTATCATCATAAGCTGAGCGCAGCGAAGTCGTATCATAGCCAGTTCGCCTGATTTTCGTGCGTTAGCGGTCATATGATAACTTAAAATCGTTTCGTACAATCGCTTTGAAATTTTAGAGGTATATTCTTTGGGACTGGGCGCGTTACTGATTAGTTTTTTGTGTGCATTCGCCCTTTTTTGCAAGTTAGTGGGGGAGTGCAATAGCAGATGGCTAAGCATAGGCATCATCACCTTCAGGTACCATATTATATTATAAACATGTATATATAATGAAATCCCGCTGCAAGCCGTGCGCGCGATATCGCGCGAGCAGTAGTAATTCATTGCTCTCGTGCCTCGACACGAGATGTTTACGCACAAACGAGCCCGATACAGATTATAGCTGCTACCGCTGCACCCGCGCGAGCTTCGAACGGGGGGCGCCGTTACCGAATGTCGTTCGTGCGCGATTTAATTCATGAGCATTTTTTCTTCTATACATTTTTTCGCAAGTTTCACCGAAACAAGGACAACGAAAGAATTTATTATATACGTATGTGCGCTGATCCCATATAAGAATGATGAAGAGCGGCTCGAGGACCCACCAGCTTTTAAAAGTCTATAAATTTTCACACGGACACACACTTCGGTTATGGACCCTCCTCCTCCTTCTCCACTACTACCCCCCTCCGCCTTTTTACGAAGACTTTCCAAGAGTGGGTTAAATCATTTGAATTATTACGTCTACGCGCGCGTGCCCCGTAGCGGCGTATAAGAGCAATGAATTTTTGAAAATTCCGCCCGCATTCGCACCTGAATCTTTCCCGCGCGCGGGTTAACTGATCGTACTTCAAGACGTGGAAAATATATTTTATCTCTTTTGTTCGTGCGTTCGTAGCTATATACCTACGTATACTTTCTTGAAACTTGTGCGGGGAGGACAAAAAAATACACGCGTGACGCATTTTCTCGGGCTGCGATATCACCCGTGACGCGTGCTTGTAATATATATCTTTACACGCGATAGAAGAAAAAAAAAGCAACACGATTTCACGCGGAGCTTCGTTATACGTATTATTGTATAGGAAAGGGTGGAATTCTCTGTCCTGAGAGAGAGAGAGAGAGAGAGAGAGAGAGAGTACAGTACAAAAGCTCGAAAATTCAATATTTCAAACAACAACAACAGCTACAATGGGACTCTCTGCTCGAGCGACGAAACTCCATATATAGGCAAATGCTAAAGCGAACGATACCGTCGCGCAAGAAGTGTCTTGAAATTTTAATTAACTTTTTCCTCGGGAACCGCCGAGGCAGGACAGAGAGACAGAGAGAGAGAATACATCCCGGAGCTTGCAGAGAGAAGGAAAGCTCTTCGCGCGAGAGTATAAGAGACAAAGGCCAAAGCTGTACGGTCGGCGGCGCGCGAGCCGCGTCAGCCGCCGACGACGACGACGACGACCCGCAGCAACCCAGATATATACCGCTGCTGCTGCTCGATGAACTTTTAAAAGGTAGCTAGCTCTTCGTGAAAGTCTAATTCTCTCTCTCCCTCCCAAACAGTCCTTATAGCGTAACGTCAAATATTGGAATAAATTTTGCCGAAGACGGCGGAAAAAGGGATGAGAGCGAAACGAGTCGAGGTATGAGCTGATATACTACTCTGCTACCTACCACCAGCGTCTTGAGAGAGAGATGCAGTCGCCCGGTGCTCTTTTGCGCGCGCCCACGAGCTTCTCTTATCGCACTCGGTGCGCTCGACTGGGTTGCTGCTGTGCGCGCGGCCGAGCCGCCGCTTGAAGAAGGCCTTTTTTTTCTGCTGGCGTTGCGCCTTATATATAATGCGACTTATATACTCGCGAGCTCATGCCAAGTGTGCTGCTGCTGCGGGGGATCGATTAACGCGCTTGAAACACACACACACACAGACACAGACCCCCCCGACTTGTGCGCGAATAACAAATTGGCATCGGTCGGAGGTTCGGGGATCGGCCGGTCGGCCGGAAAAGATACGACTTGCCTTTTTGACTCTGTATGTATACATATGCCCACCCACCCACGGCCAATATCCTTCCTTTCTTTTTCATCTCTTTTGTCTCATTTCTCTTTTTCTCTCTCTCGATATTCACGCCTGGCGAGTGTTTCACCTATATAGCCTCCCCTCGTACACAACGAGGAAGCGACGACCGGTCGTCGTATATTTACGTTTGTACGCGCGTATTCGAATGCCGAAAGAGAGAAAAAGCAAAGAAGACAGCTCGAGCCTTGCGCGGGTGCGCGCCGAGCTTTGTCGATCACAGAGATCGTGTGTAATCCGTGAATTTCAAATATCTTCGTCGAGTTCCCGCTACGGACATTCCCGGCCTTTCAGCGTCGCGTCCCCCGCGTACTCGATTCGCGACGGGAGAGAGTTTTCTTTTTGCAGAGTTGAACGATGTTTATTAGTCTCTCTCGTTTTGTGCTTCGTGCAATTTCGTTCGATGCGGAGTACAACAAGAAAAGAGAGAGAAACAACTGCGCTCGAACCTCATTGATACGAGATCGTGCTGGATAATGAAAAATAGAAAATGCCTTATGAGAAAAATTGAACTGCAAGAGTGTATTGGAAAAAATTAGCAAGTTTATTAACACTATTTTCTTTTTTATTATAATATAATAAAAATCGTTTTGTCATGATTTTTCGCAGATCTCATACCTATATAAATTGTGTATGTAAAAATTAATCGTAAAAAGTAATAATAACACGAGTTGCCCTTGTACTTATGAGTATAACTGTATGGAATAACATTTGTTCAACTTTAAATGCTAATGTCTGTGTATCAATTTTTTGTTTTTTTTTTTTACAAATATATGTAATTGTACTTGACGTTTGTCTCATTCCCCCATTTGTTTTTTCTTATGAGACGTGCTCATACTTGAAATGCAATTTATAAAAAATTTATAAAAAAAAAATATTAATAATAATAAAGAACCATTACGCTGTTCTTTTGTACATGGAATCACAGACATCAATGAATCGAAATTAGAAAAAAAATTTAAGCGTAAAAAATAAATTGCTATACACGATTATATGGAAATTATTAAAAATACTTGCATGAAAGAACAGCTTAAATAACGTAATTTCAGAATTAACATTAAATGCGCTTTTAAAATGCATAAATAAAAAGTATCTTCTTTGGCTTTTTTTACATGGATTGCTCTCCGTCGTTTTACCATTTCGGGGACATCGTCTTCATTCCATAGTGACTCGTGTACGACGGAACTGATGGTAGCGGACCACTAAAATTAAAAAAAAATCATTTTATTTCACCGTATTTTTTAAAACTTTTTTTGTTCATAATTACCTCCACACGATTAAAGGTGTCAATCGTTCGGTAAACCTTTGATAATTCCTTTCCAACTCGCGTTGGTAGTCGCGCTGGTCGGAACCTATTAGGTTTTTATTCTTTCGCAAAGCATCCAGACACTTTTTGGAAAAATCTTTGAAACAGAGGCGTAATTTGTGTTGAAGCTTAGTGGGTTGATAATTCGGCTCTCGCATTTCAGAAAGGAATACGTTGGCCACTTCAGCTGGACCTTGGTTTACCGTTGTACCAATACAACCTTGTAGCACCATTTGTAGCATTTTAGCATCGGGCGGTTCCTGAACCGTGGCTGCAGCAAGCTAAACCATGAAAAAGTTGATTTGTGAAATCATTTTTTTTTTTGGGTCATCAGTCTATCATAAAAAACTTCAGCATACCTCGGCAGTTTTCTTTTGAATATCTTCTATGGCCACTTCAATTGGACTTAACACTATTTGCTTTCTAGTAACCACTCGAATCCTTGTTTTCAAGTACGGAAAAAATGTCTCCACCGTTAGTATAGTTTTCCGCTTGCATTGTTCACGCAATTCACCGTGTGCTTTACCTCCAGGAGTGAACGGAGTGGCAAAAATAAATCTATCTGCAATGGTAAAATTTTCAAGTAAATAAACGCAGGACAAAAACGAAAATTTTCTAATGAATATCAGACAATGGATGAAGCGTACTTATAGTGAAATTCTTCTGGAAAACAGTCGGCCGGTGTCTCAATTCCCAAGGTTCGAAATAAGGCTCGACGTACGTAATCTGCACGTAGGCTTTAGTCTCGTCCAACGTGCTCAAATCAACCGGGTTCGAGTCCTTGATAATTAGAATGTTCTCGAAGCCAAAGCGATCGGCGTAGAAGTTTTCGAGCCTCGCGAAAATCTCCGGCAGCTTGGTCAGCGTCGGCTCCTTGTAAATGAACTCCTCGCCGTTTAGATCGCCGAATCTCGCCCCGTAGAATCCCACGCGAAAGTACGTGCCGAAGACTCGCTTGCCAGCAAGCTGCTCGATCTTGGTGTACGCGTCGTTGAGTTTACTGTGAATGTTGGCGAGCTTCTTGTAGTCGTGCGCCGCCTCGGCGATCGGCAGCAGCACCTTGTAGACGTCCGGAATGGCCTCGTACATGCCCGCCGTGTAGAACGAGCTGGCGGCGTGCTCCAGCAGACCGGCCAAGCCGCTCTCGGAGAAGTGAGCGCCCAGGCAGAGGCCCTCCTCTCGACGAGCGACCACGTCGTCCCCGACGGCGCTCTCCTCCAGGGCGTTGGGCGTGATCGGATGAAAGGCCTCGGCGCCCACCGGTCGTCCACCGGCTCCTGGCTCCATGAGGTACAAGTACTCGGCGACCAGTGCCGCACTGTGCACGAGACACATCGCTGCTTCGGTATGATTCTTGCGCTCCATGTGCTGCTGAGCCATGTTCGCCAGCCAAGTGAGACGAAGATCCGGCGAGCTTTGATAACCTTTAGCGATCCTGGAATAAGACGCAAATATGTAAGATCTTGGTTGTTCACTCGCTTGATAAAATCGACATCTTACCTGTACATCAAGTCGAGAAGCATTTCGGGATCTTCTTGGAACTCTTTCATCTTAACGGTGTCCGAAAGGATCATGTGTAAATTAAATAATAAATCTTTGACTTGTTCTGGGAATGTTGTATCGGCTAATTCAGTATCTTTTTCCGCATAAACTAATATTGTTTTTAAAGCACGACGAAGTGCACCTTCGTTCGGAGCTCGTCCTCGGCCGACTAATGTAGACAGTGAGGTAGTCACTTGCATTTTAACTCTGGCGAAATTCTGTAAACATACGTATTGATTTTAGTACTTTTTTCACACCGCATCTTTATAATCTACGAAAAGTCTGATAAGCACTGTCTTATCTCATATACGGTTATTAATCAAAATAAGCCCATATTTTAAAACAATAGTCATAAAAGTGAAAAAACTAAACAGTCAGAGTTATTGAAAATATTATAAGAAGGTTTGTGCAGTGAATTACATTTCCAATTTCGAAATTCTGTCGCATCAGAAGATACAAGCTAGCCGCGGCGTGACTTCGAACCGCGCCAAGAGGCGAGCTGCACCTCGTGAGCAGGGTGAGACAAAGATCGCCGCACTGTTCATTCTCGTCCTCGTCGAAGAGCGCGCTGTGATACTTCAAGACTAGGGCTCGTTGAGTGTTGAACATGTGCTGCAGTACGAGCGTGCTTTGATTTCGCGCCAACGCTCGTAGCAACACCTTCAGGACGACACCGACCATACCTCCTGTTTCAAAGAAGAATGGCGGTAAGAAGAAAGTAAAAAATTGAAAGATCATTATTTTTAACGCAAACAAAATTTACCACTTCCACCTTCAGCTTGAACAATCGTTTCCAATGTGTCCAGCACGACTAAAGAGGCTTCGGCTGCTAAGGCACCTTCGATATGAGCATCTTGCTCCACTGCACGGCCCTCCGGCTGTTCAGAAATTCTGTTAAAAAAATTAAACGATAGTCATTAATGTTTAATTGTGTCATATTATTCGAGGAAAGAAATGTGACTTACCTGTAAGACATCTGATCTTTTCGCCATCTGAGCCTGTCACCGCCAGATCTCTCCTTCCTTCTCATCATCATTTCACTCCTGGCGCTCCCTTGACCCAAGATAACATCCTCGAGTTTCGATTTTATGTCGCTCGTTGCCGCCTGAGATGGTAATCTCTTTAAGGCTTTCTTTCCTTTGTACTCGAAAGCTGCAGTGGCGATGTTTAACAATTGCAATATGCTAAGTACTCGTCTGGGGCTAAGTTCGTTTATCCATTGTATGAGCGACGCTTTCTCCAAGCTCTTAATAATCCACAGGGCGCACAGTAACAAATGCCGAGTGGCCTCGGAACTCAGGGAAACTCTGCAGGTGGGGCTCGACGAGTCCGAGACTCCACTGCCCGCGATAGCCAACGCGACCGACTGGGTTATGGCTCCGTTCTCGTCGGTGCAGACGCTTCGTTCTTTCGAGTCCCAATGGTACAACTGGTTCAAGGCCTCCACGAGAATGTTCAGTAATGGAATGTATAGCGCCGCCACACGAGCCTTGGCCGACGGATCGGTCAGTCTGGGATCGGCGTCGTGCTGCGTCATGAGGTAGCGAATCGTACCGATGGCTTTGTTCTGCAGCATGGGATTGCGTATCTCCAGACTGGTCGACAGATCCAGCAGGACGAGACCGACGAGGAAGTGCTGCTGGCGAAATTCTTGGCTGAGTTCGGCGAAACGAGACCGATCGCCGGCCACCAGCGTCGAGATGAGACTTCCCGAGCTGCCGGTCGACGGCGACGGTGAGGCCGGCGCCGAGCTCTGCATATACGACGTGCCGAAAGGCAGATTCAAGGCGACGTAATGCTCGTTGGAGCAAACGGTGCGTACGAGATCCAGCTTGAGAGCGAACAAGCCGGCCGACTCGGGCAGTTGCATCGAGGCGTCCGCCAGCGAGCAGCAGGAGGTTCTCACCAACGACAACACGAAGCCTCGATCCATGATGGAAAACAGATCAGAGAGAAAATTGCCGAGACCCAGAGTGAGAGTCGAGGCGACGCGATTGTCCTTGCCGCATCGACCGATTATTTCGCTTGTGAGGGCGGCGACCAGCGTGGAAAGATCGTCGCAAAATTGAGGCGAAAAACGTATCTTCCGAGGCGCATCGAGCAAGTGACATTCGGAGAGATTTATGACCATCGAACGCACGATGAGCTCGAGAAAGAACCACGAGTGTGCCATAGCTAATTCTCTGGCCTGGCCGGTCGAGACTACCCAATGCAAAACAATTTCTTCGTGTAACAATCGTCTGGTTGATTGTCCGCTAAATTATAAATTGTAAAAGTGCGTTAAAATTGAGTATGCGTTAGAGAAATAATTTTGAAAAATTTTGGAAGATATGCTCACTTCTGCAAGTTTACTTGCGCACCCTCCTGTCGCATCGAGCAAGTTCTATCGAGGCCTTTGGAGAGCGCCTCCATCTCCAGATCTTCGATCGGTAAATCGGGATTGCTGCGGGCTCTGAACACGGGAGCTCCGGATCCCTGATTCATTCTCAACAAACTGCACTGATAAGCCGTGTAGGTGGTCAGCAGCGGGTGCCTGCCGTGCATGTCCACCTGGCCGTCTTGCAAACTGGCGATATTACGCACGAGCAAACCGATGGCCTCGAAAACGGTGGCCGCGACGTTTATCGGCTGCGTGGGCAGGGTCGGCGGTCGGACGAGAAGCGCGATGAGCTGATCGAATATCTGCGGCAACGAGCGAATCAGCGCGGTCTGCGACGTGCGCGACAATTCCAGCAGGGACGATTTGAATTCTTGCTCCATGCCCGTTTCTCCGATCCTTGGAGGCACTTGACCGAGCTCGAGAGCGCTGCAGAGCATCAAAAATCTGCACAGAAAATATTTTCAAACGATTATTAATAATTGCACTGCAAGTGCGAAATATCAGGTTGCTATTATTATCAACTATACTTACCGATCGATGTATTTGTCTTGAGGGTGAACGCTAGAGATCGGTTCGAGCACCAAAGTGAAAACGCCTCGATGAGCATCGACCCATCGTGTTCCAGGCAGTAAAACATCGGGAGCTATGTACGAATAATTGGCTGGAGGTGGATCCAACATGGCTGGAAGGCAGAATTCTCCGGACTGCAAGTGTCCATCTCGTAACAACGGTAGCCACTAAAAATTATTCGAAACGTGAGTTGAACTTTTAGATAGCAAGAGTCGCTATCAAATTTAGGCTTTAACGCACGGTATAAGCAACAGGAGTCTCGACGTTTGGCTGTTCTGCTTTTTTCTGACAGCTGATGTGGTAAAAAGTAAAGAGCAAATGATGCCTGGCACTGAGGTCAGCTGGAAGTCGAATTTTTATCTCGTCGTAGAAATTGGGAGTCTTATTGTGGTAGAGAACCGTTGTGAAGGCTTCGCGCATCATTTCTGGACTGGATGAGCGACCGAAAATCGCAGGAAGAGCCTCGTCCTCTTTTTCTCCGCCCATGAGTTGTACGCGGACAGCGATATTTCGAGCGGATCCCGTTCTCGAACTGAAATTCGTTTCCTGTAAAAAAATTTTACCATGTAACTGCAGTTCCATTTGAGTTTTTTATTCAATTAATTTGAATACTATTCTTACCTTGGGATAAACGTATAACAAATTACGATAAACTAAATCAGGTGAGACGATTTCACTGGGAAACTCAAAAATTTCCTTGACGGGTCGAGTCTTCTCATCTGGATAAGGCTTTAGCCTTCTTAAATCCGGATCGAGGCAGCGGGGCAGATCTTCCGGTCGAGGGCTTAAATCTAACTTCAACGTGCCAGGTATACTCTTGAGCCGTTTGAGATTCGAACTATTTGGACGTTTCAACTCCGAAAGTAGCTTGTACAAATCTTCATCGCGCAGTCGTTCGCTTTCCTGCTTAAAAAAGCTCGATACCGTCAACGTGATGGGTCTGAAGTTGTCCAAGCATTGAGCCAAATCATCCGGATACAAGCTGTGCCTCTTTTCCGAATTCCTGCGCTCGAGAGAACCGCGACGACTCGATACGTCGACTTTTTTTCTCCACTGTTCAAGTCCAATACCGCTATTGGTCGATTTTCGGTCCAGCGATCCTCCGGTACTGGAATTGTCTCCGTCCACACTGGAATTACTTCCGACATTGTTACCTGTGTTATTGCACTGAGTACTGCCGGTCAAAACGCCCGAAAGATGAATGGCGGTCCAAGCCAGAGGCATGCGATAGCGGCCCAGACGCTCGCATGCAGCTGCGGCCGCTGCTCGAACTTTCTCTTTGTTTTTATCGCTTTTGTCGTCCCTAATGTAAGGTTCCGCGCATTCAGATATATCTCCTTGCAGCACTTTTTCAAGACGTACCACTAGAAACAGATCTGGACTAGGTTTGCTTATGCTTATGACACAATTTCTGGCCAGAGTACTCACATCACTGTACGCTATGTGATTTCCCAACATTTTTTTAATATTTTCAGAATTCATATCCACATAAAAATTTTCTGATAACTAGAACAAAAGTAATCATTTATGTAAAAATAGTTATTTTGCAGGTGAAAATATATTCCCTGTTTTTAAATTAGCTGTACCTTCTTTTTTTCTTTCGAATCATACAAAGCAAGACTAGCAAATATAGGCTCTACTTCTAAATCCAATTTCAATTGCAGACATTTTACAAGTATTTTATGTGCAAATGGCTCAGTAGGTTCTGAAGGAAGTGTTATTTCTTGCCACTCATCATCAGCAGATGGGGGTAGAGAATATAATGAAAATAATGCCTCCTATAATTTTAAATGAAAAATAATATGTTAGTTTTTACATTAAGTGTGCAAATATAACTGTATGGAAATATTTCTTACTTGTCTATCATCTAAACGTTTTTGTTCATTTATTTGATCCAGTTTCTCTGGAGTAACTCGATCAAGGACACCTGGCAATAAAGGATCATGTTGAGAATGACGAAGATCCAAACTTGCCCATGAACCTCTTGGAGTATCTTGAGATCCACATTGAGACAAATCTGAGTCTTCTTCATTTGGAGAACCTGATCCATTATTTTGCTCTTGATCAACCTTTAAAATGAAAATGCAAAATTTAATGTACAGTCAGCGATGCTCAAATAATCAAACCTACCTCAAAATCTTGTTTAGGTGTGTCTTGTACTAGTTGCTCTCTAGCTACAGGAGAAACACGCCTTCTAAATTTTCTATGCACAACAACCCAATCAGAAGTAAAACTTTCTATACACTGTCTTACATATGGAGAGACTGAATCACTGAAAAATACATTAAAACTATTTGTTAAACTTTTCAATAAGGATTACAGAAACAGGTAGAAAGCCTTCATACATTGGTTCGGAAGGAACTATAGGTTCTTCTGTACGTATTTTTCTTTTGATTACTTTCACTTCAACATCGTTTGGAGGATAATCTAGAATGGATCGTAGAGGATCTCTTTCAAGAATTGCCTGATGCTGTATAATAAATTCTTCATAATCCAATGGCTCTACCACTTCGCACAGCGAAACCTAAAATAAAAACCACATCAATAAAACTGTACCTCCTGCAATCTTCAATCAGCGTACATCAGCTTTTTTTCTTACCGTGGATGAGAATCCTGACACACTACTCTTACTTTTAGCCAACTCTCTGTTAAATGAATTTGAGGAAGCTATTTGTTTCCTGACATCAGCTGCATTTTGTTTATTAAGTTTGTGAGCGAAAGCTCTTTGAACAGAAGCCATTCTTGTGGTGTGAATTATATCGAGATTCAGATAATTAATAACTGTGGAAAATTTGAAATCTTCGACTCGGTCACGCTATCAAAGGGGTGAGATTCTGTCATATGTATCCACTCCACCCTTGAACATAACCTTCGGGTATTTCTGCAGCATCACGACTTGTCAATCGCAACGGTGTAAACAAATGCAAGAAAGCTCCATTGTTGCAACTCCGGATCGGTTCAGCAGAAAATAGAAATTCCGAAAGCTCTGACAGCGTGAGACATGATCATGGGAGAAACTGAGTACGATACTGGACGGTGTGTGTGTCACGGGCAGCGTGTATGATTCGTTTCGCACTCTTTGAAGCACGTTATCGGTTACCCATAAAAAAAAAATAAATAAACTTTTCTTTCTGTCACGCGCGAGTCACGTCTCGCGATTCGAACTCGTTCCGTCCTCGTTTTCATGTATTCATAACAAAAAAATAAATAAATTAATGCGCGAAGCCGCGCAGGGCTCGTGTAGAAAAAGTCGGCTCCCCCCTGCACGCCGCACCACACCACCGCACCGCACCGCACACGCACTGTCTCGCGGAGCGCAAACACCGCTCCCTACACTCGCCGAGAGCCGAGTCGGTGTGCGATAGTGTGCAGTATATATGTATATAGATATAGTAGTCGGCCGATGCAGTTGCGTACGTGAAGTTTCGAGCTCTATTAAACTTCTTATGGTTTAGGCTGCAGCGGTACCCAGCGAAGTTCGATCTTCGCTTAATGCTCTGGTGCTATGGTTACGCGCTGCGGGACCTTGAACTTCGGGGGTGGTGGATTAAAGCGGCTCCCGTATATAGACACCGACGAAAATTGCACGGGGAAAAGCGTTCGATTGCTATAGGAGTACCGTTGAGTCTTTCGGCTCGATAGAACTTTTATCTTTGCTTCTTCGATTACTCGATGGATTTTTAACAAACCAGTCTTGAAAATTCAAACCCTACTAATTAGCGCACATTTCCGCTGACTTTATCAAAGCGACACTTTGTTCGATAAAACTTTAAAAGCGCTTTACTGTATAACACGCGATCAACTTCATAAAATTTCGTTCGCAACTGCTAAATCGACTCGTAACAAGATTAACTAAAATCGATAGCAGATTTTGAAATTAAATTATTTTGCTCCACGGTAGAAGGACACATACATTATTATCGCTACGCGAAGTGTTTTTTTAATGAGCGATGAGGTCAGCATCGCGTCAAGTCCGTTACATCGATGGCGTTACGATACTTTAATCTTCCTTTCACTTCTGTTCGATCTTCCTAAATTCGGAGCTTGATGAGAGAAAAAAAAAACACGAATTGTATGGTTTTATGCGCTATTTTATACTTTTGTAGTGCTAATAGTTTTTCACATAAAAAATTTAATGATTTATAACGACACGTATCTATGGTTTAGTAACATGAAATTTCTCGATCATATAGGCGAAGTTCGTTATGCAAAATCTTTTGACAAGGTTTCGTTTTATTATCAAAATCATTCATAATTTTACTTTTAAGTGATTTATTTATTTGTCTTTTTTAATTTTTGTAATGAACTATTATCTTTACACAAATAATTATAATATAAAAGAGCATATGAATAAGTGATACCAAGAGCACAATAAATAGAGGTAATGGCTAATGGTAAAAATGGCAACTTATCTTTGAATAAAGTTTTATGTAAAAATGTCTCGTAACATGTAATCAATGGCAAAATACGAATGTAAAGTTTTTCCAATTTTGTAGGTGGCACTGAATTATTTGGAGCTTTAAAAAGTAACCGGACCATTACTAAATGAATGAACCATAAAATCAACTTGAAAGGCGTAAATTCTTGTGGATAAAGCAATGGAAACAGTGCAATGTATCCTACACAACTTAGGATAACAAATATCCTTGCATCGAATACATCAAACATAGCTGAAATGCTAAAATAACAAAAATTTATAATTAATAAGCTTAAGGAATAGATTAATACATTTAGGGTACAAATTGTTTACCATAGAGGCACAATAGCTGTGAGAATAGCTTTTTCGTGGACATGCCATCCAAACATGAAGGAAGACAGAGCACATATAACGATACACTTCAAAAATTTTCTTGGATCTCCGAAAAATCGCTTATTGAAAGCTAACATCCAAAGGGCAGGCTAAACATAAATTGTGGTTACTTTAAAGTTTTTAGGTAACTTGTGTATTAATTTTTCAATACTGACCACCATCGATAGGAATGTTATGATAAATGTGACTAGGGGACTGGGAGTAGGTAGAACAGCAAATGTTTCTTCTTGTACTAAACCTCCAGTCATAGAAGCAGTCTTTACATGATTTAACCATCCTAATCTTTTAAATATCACAGATAATACTTTGTCAGCTCCCACATACAAAGCCCAAGCATTAGAAGCCCAATAAGAATGGACAAGTCCTCTTTTAAATGGGAAAAGTCTTGCTAAAACCTGATTGAATTTATTATAATTTTTGTTATTTTTGCAACTATATGATATAATCATAATTAAGTTTATGAATTACTTGTGGAATTTGTTTTACAAATGGTCCAAAAGATAAAGAAAGTACAAAAATGGCTACTGCACTTAATGTCATCAATCTAGGTATAAATCTACTATCTTTGAAACAATAATTCCTGAGAAGCCAAACTCCAAAGGCTGGTGCAACATATAAATAAAGGTGTTTAAAATTTAAAAGTATAGCAAACCACATGGCCCCTTGAATTACTTGAGCCTGATAAAAAAATAAGTATGTCATTAAAATTTTATTGATTAACCTTTTGACAAACAAACCTTTCTAGTGATTCTTGATACTTTAGCTAATGCTATAAGTAATATGCCCAAAAGAAATCCATTGTATTGAAAGTGTACATGATCAACTACAAGTAATCCAATATTGCACAAAGATAAAACAACCAATTTTTGGAAAGATTCAAACTTAACACAATATATCTGTCCTACCCTGAAAATGTTTATAATTGATTGAATTTAAAAAAGTATGGCTTAAAATTGAAAATTTAACTCACTCTCTGATACCAAAGGCATAAACTAAATCTGCTATGATAACAGTTGCTCTTTGGAAAAGTTTTGTATTACTCGATGCATAATTCAAATTATTGACATCCAACATTTTTGGATCGACATAGACTGCAATTTTGCTAAGAGCATATTCGAACCAAGCGAAAAATGGTGGATAATCTAATGTCCATTGGGATTTATCGCTAGTGTACCACTCGTGAATGGGTAAACTATGTGTGATTGCGAGCCAATTTCTGTGAACCTCAAAATCTGTAGAATGACTGGAAGTCACATTTCAATTAATTGAAATCATTTTTCATTGAACTATTTTCATTTTCATTTTTAAGTGCAGTAAGGTTACATTTGATGACTTACTATGTCGGTATCAGCAACACTTTAAAACAAGTCACAAGAATAAATATTTTTATCAAAAACGAGTCTCGCCGACGCGTTTCGAGTTTTACAATATCTAAATTATTAATATTATCACAGTCCTCTACGGAATCCGGCATTTTTGCAAGCTTTTTAACAAGCGACGCGGTGGTTGTTTACACGTCAGTTAAAGCCCATGATGCATCTCGCGTCGTCTGCTACGATTCGACAGCAGCACAAACACAAATAAACTACTGAACTTTCTCATGATTACAATTTGAATTTTGTGCAAAAGTTTAAGATCAAATTTTTTTCAACTTTTTTAAATTTCTAATTAGTAAAAACATTTTTCCTTCAGCATATTAAATTTAAAGTTAGTTTTGATGGATCTTATGAATAGATCGCTGTCTGTTAATCTGTTATGCAATAACGAGCATTACGAGAAAATCTTTTGAATTTCTGTAAAGTAGATATCTTTGGATTTTTTTAAATACATGTGAAGGGTAGAAAAAGAATTCAATGATTTACTAAAAATATCAAAATTTATTGTACTAGAAGACATTGTCTTACATACTTTATTATCTATCAGACAATCTGGTAAAAAATTCACAGTATTAAAATAAATAAACAATTTTTCGCGTATTGCTGAAAATTGTTTTCAAGAAATCTGTTTTGGCTATGCTTCGACATTATTCCGCAAACTTATGTCATGCAACGTTTAATTCATAGCGTGAATGTATAAATTGACGTATAATCACTGGAAATAACGAGTCAATATTTCCGATATTGCATTTCAAATTTAATAAAAAAACTAAAAAAGTTCCATTTTCTTATTAAATTTGATTTGTAATCAATGGCAAGATAAAACATACGAGTTAATTTCTTAAGGACACTTTACACACATGAAAAATAGTATTCTATACATATGTGGGTACGTCAAATGTTGTACTTAACGATATCTCATAGTGACATTATTTTAAAAATATGTCAACTGTGTGCTATTCTTTTACTATTAACATATAACATAATCAATATAACTATATATTTTTGATTGTAAAAAAATACTTTGGGGCGGCGGATATTTTGATTTTTCGGTATAAAATTTTATAGCTTTATAACGATTTAAATAACTACATGTTAAATTTCACCTTATGAAGAGGTTTACCTCTTGGTGAAATGGAAATTTTAAAATATACTTAATAAGAGTTTATAAACTTTACGTAACTATGCACAGATATAAAACAAATATCAATAATTTGAAGATCTTGTCTAATAAATATAAAAACTCAATTACACTAACTGCTTTTCACATTTTCAAACTCAGTTAATTTTTGCTCCAATTCTTTTATTCTTCTCGCGCGACTTCTGCACAATTCTTTCATCCAATTCCGTTCTTTTTCCATTTTCTCAAGTCTTAAGTGATCCTAAAATTGAAATAAAACAATGTAAATTTTTTGCCTTTTAGAATTTTTTTAGCTTACTCAATCGTCTTATTTACCTGAACGATGCCACTACTCATTCCAGTTAAACTGACTTTAGATTCCTCGTTGACTTGAATGCCTGCGTCACGTTTACTTAAACTTTTCTGTCGACAAATTTTACATTCTCTTGAACTATCCTTCATCAAAGCTCGTTGCCATTTTTGAATTTCAAGTTTGAAACTAGAATTCTAAAAAAAAGAATTTTTAATTAATTTAGATGAATAAAAGAAAAAAAAACCTTCATTGATTGAAGTCTTACTTCTGTTTTCAAATTCAACAATTCTTCTTGCAGTTCGTTACACTTCACTTGGTAAGGGAAACTTTCAGCTTGCAGTTGTACTTCAAGCATTGTTATCTTATTATTTCGAGAAACTAGATCCAATGACATTTCACGGATACGGTTCTTAAGATCATTGCAAGCTTGGCATCCTTGATAAGAGGAAAAACTTGGAGGCGGTGTTGGCGTTGACGATGGTGATTCATTATCAGTTACATCTCTATTATCAACTTCTTCGATGTTTCTGTGTTGATTAAAAACGTTACTACGTCTAGAGCGACGCCTACTTTTCTGGGTCGTTGGGCTGCTACTCTTAGAGCTGTTACGACTGCCAGTTTTCGATTCCATTAAATCGGCAATTTTGATATTCATATCTTCGATGCGACCAGACAAGAACTTATTATCTGCGCCAAGACGAATTATTTCATTTTGTAATTTGCCAGTGTTGACTTCGGCAACTCGCAAATCAATTTTCAGTTTTTCATTTTCCTCCTCGAAAGTACGAAGTTTTTCCAAGTTGGCAGTTCCCATGGCGCCTGTGATCAAACGATCTTGTAGATCGGCGATCTCGTTTTCTTGTTGTTTGATGTGAAGAACAAGTTCTTCCATTTCATCATCAAGTTCTTTGTTTTTGGTCATGAGCTAAATAAAAAATTACAAAAAGATTTTTTAATTTAGTAAAAATAAATTATCAGGAATATAAAAGGTTTAAAAGTAATAAAATACTTACGTTTTCCATGTCTTGTTGCATTTTAATTTTTTCCTCGGTGACTTGCTTGAATGCAAGATCCTTATCTTTGCCGCAAGACATTATTTGATTCTGTAATTTTTCGCTTTCTTTGAAAAGTTCGTTGATTTTATCTTCCAGAACCGATTTATCTTTGGACAAATATTGGATTTTTTTCTTCAAAGTCTCAATTTCAATACTGTACTCGACGAGCTTTTGATCTTTGCTGGCAATGATCATTTTCTTCTCTTCAACTTCTAGTACGATGTTGTTCTTTTCGCGCAATAATTCTTCGTAATGATCTCGAAGTTTCTGCAGATTATCATTGTTGTATTTGTCTCGCAAGGACTCCAGTGCTATTTTATTAGCATTCAACTCGTGCTCCAATATTTCGACCTTTCCTTGAGCTTCCGATAGTTCACGCTGAACTTGCGATTTGGATTCTTGCAGTTCCTTGATACGATTGTAAGATCCCTCTAGATGATTTTTCAAAGAGCGATTTTCATCTTGGAGTTCTTGCATTTCGTTTTCCACTCGAACCTTGCTCGTACTATTTCTCACCTATCATAAATTCATAAAATATTAATAATATTGCATCAAGCGTATCTTTATCCATATAGTTAGAATTAAATTTTACCTTCCGTTGAAGACTACTGTTTTCTCGTTCAAGCTCCGAACAACGATCTTTGAACTCTTCAATGGTAGTAGATAAAGCAATATTTTTATTTTTGATGTCTGTAAGCTGCTTATTCAAGCCAGATGATTTAATTTCTTCAGATGAAAGTTTGTCTTGCAGAATATCAAGCTGCTTTTTGTTCTCCAACTTCAGATTGTTAATCTCTTCTTTGTATTTTTCAATAACCATTTTTCTTTCGGCTAGCTGAGCTTGCATATTTTCGTACTCGGGCTGCCAAGTTTCAGCCCTGGTCTTGTATTCCGTAAGCATGTCGCATTTGATCTTGAGCAACCTGGTAATCTCTTCAATGTTCTTATTTTTTTCTGTGCTTTCATCTTTAAGATGCTGAATGGTTTCTTCCAGGCGCGAAATTTCTTGTTCCATTATTTCAATTTGTTGCAAGGACGATGAACACTCGCTGGTTTTGCACGAGATGGTACTTTTAAGATGCTCGATCTCCAGATCCAAACCTTCGATCGTATTCTTGAGATCATCGTTATTCGATTTGCAAGAATTCAGTTCTGATTGAAGCTCTTCGACTTCGCGAAGATGCTCGTCTCTCTCCATGCGAAGACGCGCCTCCCACTCTTCGTCCTTATTTCTGCATAATCTCTCTTTCTCTTGAGCTGCGCTGATAGCTGAATCGCGATCGATTTCACTTTTGGCCTTCTGGTCGAGCTCCTTTTGTAGGGAGATGATTTCTTGCTCGAAATTGTCGATGTTACCGAGCAACTGTTGGTTTTCGTGATGAGCCTCTTTCAGACACTCTTCCAATTTTTGAATATCTTGCATCAAGCGTGCATTTTTGTGCTCGAGCTTTGAGCAATCTCCTTGAAGTTTCTCGAGATCCGTCTCCAACGTTTTGGCCCAAGCGTTCGCTCGTTTTTCAGCATCGCTACTCTGCTTTCTTTCTTCCTCAAGTTTTCGTTGTTTTCTTTCGGAATTTTGTTGAATTTGTTTCACCATCTCTTGTTCTTTTGCGAGAAGAGTGGTCACGAAATTAACGAAAATGTCGGTGACAGATTGCTTTGATAGTGATTTCACCTCGTCCTCGGGCAAATTGGACATAGATTTTATTTCTTTGATCATTCTAGACTTTGCCTCGTCAACTTCTTCTTGCAATTTATCCTCGATAATGCTTTGATTATTACCTCTGAGATTTTGCACTATATCTTCAAGCTTCAAGATTTCATTTTTCAAGTTATTGTTCTCTTTTTCAAAATCACCAATTCGACTGTTACAACTTTCAAGCTCTTTCTTGAAGTTGTCCTCGGCTTCTTCAATTCTTGATAATAAATCTTTCTTTTCTTTGAGCAAGCTTTCGCATTGTACCTCAATTTCGAGTTTCTGAGATTGAATTTCTACTTCAGTTGCATTGGTAATTTCGGCTTTCTTGTACAGACTTTCCAATTCTTCTTCGAGAAGTTTGATTTTGTCTTCGTAACATTGGACAGTTGTTTGAGCCTTATCGTATTGATTTTTTAACTCGTTGTTGGCTTCTTTCAAAGTCTCGATTTCTCTTAGGACATCATTTTTTTCTGCTCTAAACTTGTCCAAAGTAACGCCAACTTTGTCGTTATGCCGTTTCAATTCTTGAAACTCGCTGCTCATTCTCTCGACATCCTTCAAGAGTGTTTGAATTCTTGCCGAAGTTTTTCGTGAATTCGATTTCGAACGTTTCTTCTCCACCGATGTTGGACTATTTGGTGATATATTTTCCGCTTGGAGTTTTTCCAGTTCTAGACACTTCTCCTGGCATTGGTTCGACAGCCGAGCGTTATTTTCTTGCATTTCTTCCAGGACATTAGACATTTGGTGAACCTTTTCCTCCATCACTGTAACGTTCAATCCTTCGTAACAGCTTTCGTTCAAGGTCATTTCGAGCATGCTCAAATTTTTCAAGCTTGTATTGACACCCTCGTGCGCGTTCGTTATGAGCGATTCCGATTCTTCGCATCTCTTTTCATATTTCTTCTGGACATCGAGAAGTTTTTTATTGAGAGTTTCGATCTCAAGTTTCATGAGTCTCCGACTCTCGTTGATTTCCTTCAAATGAACGCATTGACTGCAGTTCGTGAGCTTGAGCTCGCTCAATTTTTTGTTGCGTATGGTCAGTGAGTCAACTTGATCCTCGAGCTCTTTGATGCGGAATTTGACGGATGACGTGTTGAAGCCGCTCTCGCTACTTACGGAAGTGTCCATGACGAACGAGGCGCTCTTGCGGCGATCGTTAATCGTCGATTCGTTCAATTCTTCGCTATTCTCCAAAGCAATGTGAGTCGACAAGTTTGTATTTTCTCGATTCAACTGTGTTGCTTTTGCCCGCAACTCGATAACTTCGTTTGCCAAACGCTCGTTTTCTTGCTTCAGGCATTCCAACAGTTCGACATTTTCGCTCGATTCCTTCTGCTGTTCGGTGTAAGCTTTTAGTTGCTGCCTCAATACATCAACCGTTTCCTTCAGTTTGTCACATTCTTCTATTTGCAAAGTCAAGTCACTTGATAATTCAATATTTTCTTTTTCAGTACACTGTATCTTTTCATTGACCTCATCCAATTTATTTTTATAAATGCACTCGTGATCGTAAGCTTGAACTTTACTCTCCTTGATTCTATCCATCTCTTCGATCAAGTCCATAACTTTGGTTGATAAATCAATATTTTCACTTTCCATTTCTCTGATTTTTGTTTGATACTCATCCATCTTCTTTTTAGTATCTTCATCGGTTACAACAGGTGAAGTTCCACGTAAGTTCTCAAGCTGTTCATTAACAATATTGATTTCATCAATGAGCTTAGTTTTTTCTTCTGAGATCTCTGAAAGTCTTGATGTTAACGTATCTATCTCCAACTGGAAATTACTGACAACTTGACTGCTACTTTCTCTCTCTTTAGAAAGCTTTTTTGATAAGTCCATGTTTTCATCAGTCAAAACATTAACTGTTTGCTCCAAATTTCCTAGCATAGTTTTAAAATCAGTCACTACTTTTTGGACTTCTTCAAGTTCCTGAATTCTTCTTTGTAAGTCGGAGCGCAATTTAATGTTATCATTTTCCAAAGCTGCTCTGATCCTTTCTAATTCTTCCAAAGTAAGAGATTCATTTGACATTAAAGAGGTATGTAGAGATGGAGATTGGACATCTTCTGTTCTATTCAGATCAGTGATTTTACTAATATCATTAATAGGACTTGAATCTTCCATTTTCCTGTCCTTATTGATTGTATTTACATCTTCAAGCTTACTTAGATTCTGATTATCATCAGATGGTTTTTGCACTTTTTCTGATCCTTGATTCACAGGTAAAATTTTACTGAACTAAAATAACATAAATACATATAATTATTTAAAAATTTATTATAAGACAAAATATTCATTAGATATCTTACCGCAGTCATGTCTATAGTTTCTGTTATTTCAGTTCCAATATAACCAGTGCAGTCATCAGTCATCATAGACATATTATCAAAGTAAGTTTGATTTGCAAATATACTGCTTGATTCTAACTCAAGTTTTTTCGTGGACAGTTGAGGAGTGTCTACAACATTAGTTTTAGCAGGTACATTTTGAGGATCTGTCATCATTTCAACTTGTGGTTGTTTGGTATGATTATCTACTTCAACTAAATCGTTTACATTTATTGAACATTCTTGAACTTCATTGTCAGTTACCACCTGTTGTTCTATACTTTTTGGTGAACTTTCTATGACAGAATCAGTGATTAACTCAAGAGGTGTTTCTGGAGTTTTTGGCGTTTTATTTGTCACAAGCGATGAGTTAATTTTACTGCTCATTTTTTCAAAATCAGAGCAACGTTTTTTCAAGTTATCATTTTCTAATCGCAAACAATCAACAATAATATTTAAATCAGCTAATTCCGTTTCTAAATCTTTAAGTTTAGAACCATCATTAGACTGTAAATTATTAATTTTTTCTAACAGTTCATTTTTTTCCGTCATAACAATGTTCTGCTTTTGTTCAAGTTCTTTTATTTTGATTTCAAAAGTATGTTGTATTTCAGTCATTTCATTAACTTTTGAATCAAGATCTAGCTGAAGTTTTGCATTTAGAGAATTTAAATCCTTAATTGTCTGCATCTTCATTTCAATATCATTTACAAGCAACTGATTTTTTTGAGTCATTTCATTAACTTTTGAATCAAGATCTAATTGAAGTTTTGCATTTAGAGAATTTAAATCCTCAATTGTCTTTAATTTTGTTTCAATATCATTTGCAAGCAAATCCACTTTTGATTTAAGTTCTTCGTTCAAATCTGATTGCTTTTTGAGAATTTCTATTTCTTCTTCATAAATCTTCAACTTTTCCGATGCAGTAAGCTCCATAGCCATCTTTTCACTTTCATGAATATCAGACTTTTCTTTTCGCAGCAATTCCATTTGATTTCTTAGTTCTTCTTCAGATTTTTTATACTGTGAGAGACTTAGTAATTTTTCGTCCAATATAGACGAGAGTCTAGAAATTTCTTCGGCATCAACAAGTTTAGAAACTGATTCAGCAAGAGATTCATCATCAGATTTAATAAGCTGTTCTAAATTCTCATTTTTCATTTTTTCATCATTTGCTAATCGTTTTAAGTAATCTATCTCGGATTCTTTTTCTTTGAGGATTTCAGAAAGTTCTGTAATAGTGCTTTCTTTCTCTTTTATTGATTCAATATTTGCCATTGTAGCCAAAGTAACCTGAAGACTCTGTAACTCCTCTTGCATTTCCGTTACTGTTTGCTTATATTGCTCAATTTCTAAAGCTTGTTCTTGCATTTTTTGTAAATGAGCATTACATTCATCATCTTTGTTGCTGGAAACTGTATTTTGTGTAGTTGCATCACATGATTTCTCATTGAGCTCTGTCAAGCAATTTTCTAATCTTTCAATTTCATTTCTTAGATATTTTTCTCTATCCGTTAATGTTTCAATTTCATTTCTTAGATGTTTTTCTGTTTCAGTGAATGTTTCAATTTCATTGGTTTTATCATTAATTACTTGTAAAAGTTCAGCGATTTTAAGCTCGCATTCTTGAACATTTTTCAATTTATCGAAATTGAGTGATAAATACTCTGTTTGAGAGTTTGATGAAGTGTTTATTTCAGTATTTTTCAAATTTTCTAGAGCTTGTTTCATTTGTTCAATTTCAAGTTTTAGTTCCATTTCGGAAGTTTGATACTTCTCAATTTCAAATGATTTAGTTTGAATTAATGCTTGAAGTTCGGAAATATCGATGTTTTCAATTTGATAATTACTGGACAAATTACTATCAATTTGGTATTCTTCTGATACTTGTTTTGCTTGACTAGAATTGTTGATACACTGCTTCAAATATTCGATTTCTTTTTTAGTTTTCTCTTCGAATTGTAAATATTTTGAAATTTCTTCTGACTTCTCTTTGATAATGCTCTGTAAATTTGAAATCTCCAGATCTTTTTCTTTATAAATTAGTAACGTTTTTTGTAGTTCTTCCATCTCTTTTTTCATATCCTCTTCAACCTGCTTATATTGGTTTATTTCTACTGCTTGATCTTCTATTATTTTAGATAAGTTTTCCATTTTATTTGTCTCATTTTGGGTAGAATTTTGTAATTTTTCCAAACAGTTCTGTAGTTCTTGAATCTTCAAGTTCATATTAGCTTCTGTACGTTGATATTCCTCTATTGAAGAATTTTTTTCTTCAATAATTTGTGATAATTCGGAAATTTCACGTTTTAACGAACTTTCATCGCTATTTTCTGTTTCAGAAACCATTTTTTCAGTACTCTCATTTTTGATGTTTGACGTATCAACTAATGTAAATGATTCTTCCTGTTTGTTAAGAGAAATTGTTTGTACCATTTCACTATTGGATTTTTCCAATTCTACCACTCTTTCTTTAAGCTTTGAAAGTTCATTATTTTTTTCAATCAACTTTGCCATTAAACAATCAGTGTCAACTCTTAAATTTTGCATAAGACCTTCGTTCTTCTTCTGCTTATCTGATTCCTTGAGGAGGTCTTGTTTGAGTTCCAAATTTTCAGTAATAAGTAGCTCTTTTTGAACTTGAACTTGTTTCAGTTCCTCAGCGCACTCGTTATAATCATCAGTTAACTTCTTTTCCAAAGCTGTCAGTTTTGGTTCACCATGGCTTGCTTCGTTTTCCAGATCTTCTAAAATTCTTTCCAGCTTTTTTAGTTCTGCAAAGGTATCTACTTCTCCTCCTTCTTCATTAAAAATATTTGGTTTCCATAGCTCTAAAATATCTGGAATTTTCGTACTTAGGCCTTTGATGCAAGTTAGACAAAGCATTAATTGTTCTTCCAACTCTGTCTGATAATTATTTTTTTGTTCAAGTCTCTTTATTAATCCATCAACCTGATTTTTTAAAAATATTGTTTCGCTTTGAGAACTACCATCTGTTTTATCATCCGAAAGAATTTGCTTTTCTAGAGTTGTAAACTCACGCAATGCTCTATATTCTTCTGTAAGATAATCCAATCTTTCTCTCAATACAGATTTTGGAGTCCCTGGAGACTCTATAATAATTTGTCGTTTTCCTAAAAATTAAAATATTATTGTTAAATCAAAATAAAAATCAAGAAATGATATGACAGAATAAGTTTACTTTTACCAGGTGTACTCCTAGGGTCAATAGTTGAAGCATCACTCCATTCACTAATACTACTCAATTGATGTATTTCAACATCATCTTGGAACTTGACACAAGGTTCTGATCTTGAGCTTATTCTGTGGTGATATTTATCCATTGTAGTATCCATAGCCGAATCATATTCTTCCTCACGTTCTTTGGCCACTTTAATTAATTCTAATTCAAAGTCTGTAAATGCAGTTTCAAAAGACTCATCATTAAGATTGATTGTTTGAATAATACTTTTCCTTTTCTGAAGATTTTTTTTTCTGTCTCTATCATTAGATTTTGAATCAGGACTATGTGGAGTCTCTTTAATAGTTGGTAAGTTAAAGGATCTAGGTAAAAGACTGAAACGAGAACTTGCAGCTCGATCACCAGCCCATGTACGTCTTCGTTTAGCTCGTGGAATCAGTGAAGGATTTTCTTCTTTTATAGAACTTCCAGCGGATATAATGCTGTTCTTTAAAAGTTGTATTCTCTCTTCAAGCATTTGATTTTGTCTATCCGTTTCTTGTAATTTGTGCTCTTTTTCTTGTAATTTTGATTCCATTTCCAAAACAACTTGAACTTTGTTATCATTTTTTAGTTTTTCAAGTTCTTCATTCAATTTAGCAAGTTGCTTTTTGTATCGTTTTAGTAATGCAGCATCAGACAACACTTCATTAACTTGTGGTTTATTTTTAACACTCTTTGCTCTATAAGCAAAACCTAAGGTACACTGAGTTTCTTCATAAGCAGCCGGTGTAACAGCACAAATTATAGCAGTCATTGCATTACCTCCTAAAGATGCTTGCAACAATCTTGTCAATTTACTATCTCGGAAATTTACATATTTAGAGCCTGGTTCAGAAGATTCACTGAGCTGCTTAATTACTAGCCCAAGAGTTGATAGCGACATGTTAATATGCGTGCCTTCCTTAAATCTTTCACCCGTGGCATTTGTCTGTCGTGCTCTTTCTGAACCTGCTAAGTCAACTAAGTTTAACTGCGACACTTGAATGGCACCATCTGAATCACTACTTTCATCTCGACTTTCCACAGTTATTCTGCAATAAAAGAAATTACAAATGAAACATCAGTGATAGGAAGAAACAATTTAAGTATCTAATACATCTATATGCATACCTAAATATCGTGTGACTTCTACTACTCCTCTCATTCATATCCGTCTGTCCTATACTACGATTCTTATCACCTTTCTTCATGAGAGCTAAAATATTATCGGGACTGCTGACGATTTCCTCTTTACTGTTGAGAACTTGCACGTATCCGTTGGAGTCCTCCCTCAGCTTTAAATCCGTAGCCGAGGTGTCAAGCAAGTCGTTGACTTTTTCGTTGTAAATTTCCAAATAGGAGACCCTCAGCAGAAACTCCCTGTGACAGGTCTCGGCGATCGCGTCGAACATGTGCTCCACGGCCAGCGGTATGATTCCCGGCTCGCTGGCGGTTCCCATCATCGTGTGAGTCTTGCCGGAGCTCGTCTGTCCGTAGGCGAACACCGTGCCGTTGATGCCGTTGACCGAGGCCCCGACGATGGGCTTGACCACCGTTTGAAAGACGTCGTCATTGTTTTTTTGCGAATCGAATATGTGATCTGATAAGGAAACAGCCAAGAATGCGTCGTGTTATTTATAAAATTAATTCGATAACGATCGAGGGGTGGACACACTCACCGAACTGGAAGCTGCTGCTTTTCTTTTCCGGATCAGTCGGCGCGATGGTGTTGTCGCTGACCAGCCATTGTATCGGCAGATTTTCATCCTTCTCGCGTCTGATCAGCGGTCTGACTTTGATGGCCACCTGTATGCTGTCCGACATCGCGACGGTAACGGTGCTGCTGCCGTTGTCGTCGGTGGTTGTTGTCGTAGTAGCGGCACGAAAAAAACACGTCCAGATCCGTCGTCGTCGTCTTTGCGAGACGAGCCGCCGAAACTGCAGACAACAACGACGCGCGGCGTGCAATAACAATCGAATCGACGCGAATAATATAACAATCTCTCGATTATCGCTCGTCTGCGAGCTCAAGTCCGTGATGATCGCGCTTGTGCTTGTGCCGCTGCTGCAACGAGCAATCACATTATCGAGGATGATTTTTGGCGCGAGCGCTCGGTAGTAGTAGTGGTACGACGACTGCCGCGACGAAAGTTTGCACACGCCGCAGACGCGATCGAGAAAGACACTAAACATACTCTACCGTTGAGAATGTGTGTTGTTGTTGTGTATCGACGCGCGATGGTGGTGGTGGCGCGGTACACACGCCGGCGAGCTACTGCTGCTACTGCTGCTGCTGCTGCTGCTGCCCGCAGAATTTTTTTTTTCTCATGCGTCCGTGTGCGTGCGTGCGTGCGTCGGTGTCAGTTTTGGGCCGCACGCGCGTGTGCGCATGTATATTCGATGCAACGAAAAAACGCCGCAGCATGTGCGTGTAGTTGTAACTTGTATTGTTTTTTTTTATCTCTCTCTCCCTCTTCCTGCATCTGTGTGTGCGTGTATGTTTGTGTGTAAATTATTGTCTGCTGCTCGCGGGTCTCCCCCCACCCGAAATCGCGCGGGACAGCAGCAGAGGTTTCGCACGCGATACATTACGTCTTGTCCGTTATATGAATTTTGAAATCCTGCCACGCGATTGGTCAAAGTCGACCGGCACGCGGAGAGCCTCTCCGCCGGCTACGCGCACCGACTGAAACGAAGCAGACGCGCATCGCGATGCTTCTCATTTTCGATGATTAAGTTGCGAGTTATTTCAAGGTTGCTGCTGCTGCTCGATTCTCATGATGTATTCAATTATGAAAATTACGCTTTAATTGAAACTCGCATTACGTCACATTGCCGCATTGTGTTGCGCGCTGAAAATTATCGCCGCCATAATTCGACTCGCCGTTTGAATTTCTTTGTTATCTCGAAAAGCCGAGGAACGCGATTCGAGATGCTCGATATATTATGCGATGACATTAGATACTTTGCGCGTTTATCGTCGTTGTGCGTTACATATTCGCGCGATATATCTTAAATTTCTCTCTTTTAATCTAAACTTACACAACTTATGAAGGTATCGGTTACTCAAAAAAACTGGAGCTCGTATTTTTTATACATTCCGTGTTTGGTAACTTATTCAGGACAATGTTATTTATAAATTTTTTGTGGCAACTCATCGAGTTTCCACATCTTACTACATACTGATAAGGGTTAATAACGATACTGATAAAGATAGTTTTCAAGCTGAATAACTTTATTGATATTATTTCATTACAATAAATCACTTATTAGTGTGCAGTAAGTATATAATAAATATCGATTTAATTTATTTCTATCTAGTACTTTAGTACTAGATAATATAATACATTTCGTTACTTATGATTGATCCTGATATTGAATTCGTTTCTGTACATATTTTTTTTATTTTCTTGCTTTTCATGCACATCAGCAAATTAATAAATAGGCAAAAAACCATTATATCATCAATTTTTAAACTTGAAATCGTTAAAAAACATTCACGATGCTTTTAAAATAGACGACCGTGAATTGGACGAAGAAAACCATTATTAAAAAAATAAAAAGAATACTCATTTACTCTTACATTAATCAGTAGAACGTAGGACCTATAAAAGACTTAAATCTGCCTATTATATACTAATTTATCACATTTGCGTGAACAATTATAATTTAATTAATTTAATGATTTATGTAAAAGTTAATTTGTGAAAAGTAAATGGAGAATATTTTTTACAATAACTTTAATGGTGTCCGTCATGAAATCGTAGTTTAATTATTTCTCCGGGAAGCCGTGCACGAACTTCTCGACAATAATAATTGAATCTTTGAGTATCTACTCGTCGCGTCGCGACTGGGGTTAACAGTTAATCGTTTTATGTGAGGTATGAAAATGCTCTTTCATAAAATTTACGTGTTTATTTCTAAAATATATGGATGTTTATTATTCGAAGAAATATATTCCTTATGTATTATGCAGCCTACAAATACAGAATTTGCTAGCTTGAATTTCCTGTCAAAAATACTCGATCAACCGTGGTGTTTTTAATTTGGCAGTTATTTTCGATATAAGGCAGTCATATTGTAGTATATTTTATAAAAGTACATTCTTGCTTTTTAACTTCATGCACAAGTTAACTAGATGGATAAAGTCAATTGGTCTATGCTTTGTGAAAACAGTCTTAAACCATTTTGCATAAAAAATATACTTCTTCCACAAATACACTTCTGCAAAGAGGCCATCCAATGAATGAAACATTGCAATTGCATTAACGCAAAATTTATAAATAACATGCATTGATGATACTTTAACACACTCTCGTTATTCATCGAAGGTATGATGAATGAAATAACTTTATACACTAATACAAACGAATCACACCTTTAAATTTGAAAAACCTATGAGGCTAAATTAAAGAGTATGACTCACTAAAAGCAACAAAATCGCAATTCACGGTAATTTCCGAGTTGTTAGTAATACATTCAATGCATTAGTGTAGATCGTTTACTATCCTTGACAACTAAGCTTCACGCGCTATTAATATCTTAAATCATAGTTTCTTACTTTTATTTCTTAAAATTGTTCTTATGAGCACATGTACTATATGCAAAACTATACGAATAAATGTACACACATACACATATGTTTCCCGATCATGACAAGTTACTTTCCTTGCAATATATTACATTTGATTCACATTTATACACATACTTAATTATTATCCTTTCAGGTCCGCATACTTTGCTAAATTGCGTACAAGAATATTCTGTTCACAGACAGATTTACTTATGAATAAATTTCAAATTTATAAAGTAAGACAATCTTTTATAAGATCTTAACAATTTTTTAGTATAATTTGTGATAATTGCATTATATTAAGACTGAAATATAATCTCACATTAAATGTTTAAACACACGTTGAAAATTGTAGATCAATACCTAAAATTTTTACCTGCTTAAAACGAAGGTATATATATTGGCAAAATGGAAATTTTAGATGATATTCTAAAAAGATAAAAGTGACAATTAATTGTAACGAAAGATCTCGTTTCTCTCAAAAACTTTAAAGTTTATGGCATTTTGAGTTGATTGTTTGATTGTTTTACTGAAAAAGAAAATATTTAAATTTTAAAAAGGTCATCCCTAAATTAAATTATCGATGAATGACTTAAGTTCATCGTTTGACACAAAGATCGTTCAGTGTTGCTAACTTTCATTTTGTCAGATAAATAAAAAACCTAAAATAAAAAAAATAATGCGAAGAATCTAGGGTTTGCATTAAAAATTGTTTGGAGTAAACAATAAATGCAATTTACTCTATGCGATTCTTAGCAATATTTTTTTTCAACTAACTACGCACAAAAATCGGCGCATCGTGTTCCATTTATCACTTTAAAGATAGTTAAATGACACTTAATCTTTCTTTCCATTAGTAGGTACTAGTGTGTTTTCAATCCAGAGCTTGCAGTTGTCGTAAGTCGACTGGGGTAAAACGTCCTGATCGACGATGAGGACCTTTTTGCTTGGAGTGAAATCTTTGACCTCGCCATGCCATACGAAGTGATTGAAAAGTTGCTGAATCGCTTGTAAATGTCTCTTTTGCTCGGGAGTTTTGGATGAGAAGAATCCAAGAATTGCAGCAGCGTCAGCGTCGGCGTCCGCTACTTCGTTGCGCGGGAAAGTCGCGACGTAAAATGGAATATCTTCCTTCATCAAAGCTATTGTCATCAACGGGCACACTACGCGGATATCGGAAATCATCGTGTGCAAATCCTTAACAGTGGCATTGTATTGACTGAAAAAGAAAGAAATTTTTCTTATCGAACATGCTCCAATCGAGGACGATATACGTATCGATCGATAAAAAGTTTATACTCACGCAAATGCCTTATCAGCCTCTCCTCTCAGTCCAATCAAGGATTCCTGGACGATTCTCTTGATCTGCTCGGGCGTGGCGGTTTCATTGTAGCTAAGGGATCGCGGCAATTCACCGGATTGAGCGGTAGCGCCGATAACGACCTTGGGCAAGTTGTTGGTCTTGCTGAAGATCTCGCCAATGTGTTTCTGAACGATGATGCCGTCTCTGACGAGCCACTCGTGCTTCGAGATCTCGGATTGGTTGCTCGCCGGCAGACCGGTGTTGGAAGCATACCAGGACGGCGGCACCGCCTCCATGATATCTTCGGCGTTCTTGCTTCTCAAGCAGTCGGCGTCTTTGCACTGAATCGAGTCCAGGAACATGGAGTTCTCTTTCTCCGATTCGATCAAGTCGCGGGTAGGCGAGACGGCGCTGCCGCTCGAGATCCAGGCCTGTTGGAAGGTACCGCTGGCTTTGCGCGAGCCGACCAGGGCGCTGACCAAGCTGCCGCCGGCGCGGTGGCCCCAGAGAGTCACCTTGCTCTTGTCGCCGCCGAAGTAGTGGATGTTGAGCTGCACCCAGTTGAGCACGTTGATGATGTCGGTCAGGCCGTAGTTGCCGGAGCTCTTGGGGCGGGAGTCGCGCGACAGCGGCTCGGCCGCGAGAAAGCCGAACACGTCCAGTCGGAAGTTGGGCCGCACGTAGACGATGTCGCGCACGTGAGCGAGCTTGCCAGAAGGCACCATGATGCCGGGCGACGGGCCGCTGAGCGTGTCGGCGCCGATCATCACGACGACGGGCAGCGGCTTCTCGAACGACACCTGGGGCGTGAACACGTCGAGATAGAGGCAGTCCTCGGCGCCGTTGATGTTGCCCAGGGCGTTGCGCTGCCAGCAGACGTGCGAGCTGTTGTGGGCGAGATAGGTGCCGTTCCAGCAGTCCTCGATCTTGTTCAGCGGCTCGGACTTGGTCCAGCGTCGCTGGCCCACGGGCGGCACGGCGTAGGGTATGCCGCGGAACACGTAGGCGTCCTCCTCGATCAGGCCCTCGATCTTGCCGCACGACGTCTGGGAGTAGACCTTGCCGTCCTTGGTGGGCTGGACGACGACGCGGCGCGGTCCCACGCAGGCGACGCAGATTATGATGATCATGAGCATCAGGATGAGCAGTGTCGCGCCTGCGAGAAGCAAAAACCAAACGAATCAAGTTTCGATAATGATGATATATAAGGATGAATAAAGACTAATGTGGCTTACCGCTGTAGAGCAGGTGACGTCTGGCAATGGTGACGAAGACCCAGAAGGGATGGGGCTTGGTCGGCGGCGAGCCGTCCGCAGCCTCGGCGTCCAGGCGCACGTTCTCCATGCCGTCCTCGGCGACGTTGTTCTTCTCCTTGTTGGCGGCTGCGTCCGCGTCGTCCAGCGTCTCGGAGCTCGCCAGACCCGCGGTGGCCAACTCGGTGTCTGCCTCCTGCGACAAAAAACGAGAGAAAAAGATGAGTACATAAAGATTCGAACAACGTGGTTACTTTTGTAAATTCGTTTTTGAGTCGATTCGTTTTATGAAAGTCATTGCCACGCGATCTCTCAATGCATGAACAGGCAACTTTCTCTGTACGAACGGAAACGACGCATCTGCGTACGTACGTAGCTTTCACTGCACATGTGGTCCAGTTCATTGGTTAGTATGAGTCAAGACGCTGCAGTGTGAACACCTATTATACGAGTAAGGCGACTGGTTTTGAGTGAAAAAAAGTGAAAAATATTTCTAAATAATAATTAGCTTCTGTGCGTGTGTTGTATATTGAGTAATCAGAACGATGAACGCGGATCATCCCTCTCCTCTTCGCCAAGAAAAATTCGAAAGACTGAAGTGCCTACGAGACGGGTTGAATTGGGACGTCGAAGAGGAGCGATACAAATTTCTCCGTCAGGTCGAATCATTGATCCACGATTGGCCGGGCCAACCTCCGAATCTCCGGGAAATTTTTGAAGAGCGAGAGATCGAGCGTCTGCTATTGGATTGCATGACGTACTGGGGCGAAATGTACTTTAATCCCGTAAAATTGGGCCGATTCGTCAAGTTCGTGGCCGACAGCGGCTACAAGAACGATCCCGAGCTCGACAAAGCGGGCGAGCCCCTGTTGCGTCGCACCACCGCGTTGCATCTAGTCGCCAGAGGCTGCTTCAAAGACGAGGTCATCAACGATCTCTTCAAGATTTACGACAGATCGGACTCGAACTACGTCGACGAGTTCGGCTATACGCATTTCCACGCGGCCTGTGAGTTTGGCTTCGACGATATCGTACAAGAATTTCTCGAGCTCGGCCAGGATCCCAATTGCCGAGTGACGAGAACGGGCCAGTCGCCGCTACACTTGGTTCTGGCCGATGCACACGATAACAGAGATTTCGTCATCGAGTCGCTGCTGAGACGCGGCGCCGATCCCAATCTGGCCAACAATCAAGGATCGACGGCTCTGCACGTCGTCGCCTGGAAACGCCGCCGCGGAGATGTCCTGGCTGGGGCGATATTCCAGGCGAGCCGCTGGCCGGTGCGGATCGACGCCCGGGACATGTTGATGCGGACGCCGCTGCACGTGGCTCTGCGGCAGAGCAACAAGGAGCTGGTCGAGCTGCTGCTGAGGCTGCGCGCCGATAAGAATTGGACCGACGAGGAGGCGCGGACTCTCCTGCACTCGATCTGCCGGAGAAAGGACGACGATGACGACGACTACGAATTGGCCGAGACATTCTTCAAGATCAAGGAGGAGGCTAACGTGCAGGTGCGAGTCGACGCCCTGGACGAGTCGGGCAACACGCCGCTGCAATTGGCCGTGGCGAATCTCAAGCCGTGCCTGGTCGAGGTGCTCTTGGATCGCGGCGCCGACTTGTCCGGATTCGTCTTCCCCGACGAGGAACTCTTCGACGGGTTTTGCGAGTCGGCAAGAAGCACGAAGATGAGAATGAGGACGGCCGGTGTTCTGGACGTGCTGGAGCGTCTCGAGAAGCGAGGCTACAAGCCGGACCTCGGCGACGCCCTGACGATCATGAAACTCTACGCCGAGTACGGACTGTTCGCGAAGTCGTCGGAGCTCGATCGACGTTGCCTCGCGAACGAGTCGTTCGTGGCGACAGCCAAGAACCTCTTGGTGACAGCGCCGAGCCTGTCGCTCCACGACTTGATCCAGCTGCGACCGCGAGAGATCGCGAGCCGGCTCACGTTGAGGCGATACCGAGAGATGTTCTGGGGCGCGTCCGAGTGGAGGATGGCGTGCCCGGAGCTGGCGTTCGAGGCTTGCTCGGCGCATCTGCGCGAGATCGTGTCGAGGAGATTTTTCCGCAGGTGGGCCACCGATTGCCTGTGGGTGCTGATACATCACAGGCTGCCGATACTCTGCTGCGACATGATCGTCGAGAATCTGAGGAACGAGGATCTGTACAATATTTGCTTGGCGGTGACGAGTCAGAGTCGGGAGGACGATAAGAAAGATGTGACTTTTGTAACGCAACTCGTCGACCGAATACCCGCGGGGGCTGAAAAAGCTCTGAAGAAGTTTTAAAATACTGGGTGCTAAGAAGATTATTTTTCCAAAGATCTATCTATTATAGATAAGCGCATTCAAATAAAAATTAAATAAAACAAAAAAAAATTAAATTTTGAATCTTTTGTAGTTTTAACTTCCCTCCTACATCCTTTCGAAGCAACTAATATCGTACGCAATGTACACGCACGATAATATACGCAGTTCTCGTAAAAAAAAAAACTCAACCCGTCGACTCTGTACAAAATAGTATACATCGTGTAACCCCACGACGAGCAAAAATACAACACGGCTATATATGCACGCTTCTCTCTATATCTCTGCAACCGGAGATAAGAGAAAGCTCTTGGCTCGTAAAGCCCTCTGTGTGTATCTATCTCCGTGTATGTGTATAATGCGTGTGCGCACGTGTGCGTGCAGCAGCGCGAGAGGTCACTTTCTAGGGCTTCTTTATACACACACATGTATATACGCCGATATTGCATAGAGAGGAGAAGGCGCGCGAGCAGTGCGTCCGTGTCTGTGTGTATGTATGTGTGCGAGTGCAGCGTTGGATGGACGGATGGATCGCTCGCCGGTTGAAAAGCAGCTCTTTTTTTTCTTCTTTTTTGAATAATTTAAACATCCGAGGTCACTAACGTGGCGGTGGTGGTGAGCTGCTGCTGCGGTGACTCTCGTTGGCTGCAGAGAGAGCGCAGATTTCAAGCGCAAAATGAAAAGAAGAAAATTGCCGTACACACACGGGTGTCGGAGCTGAAAAATTTTCCCTTCCGCGTACATAGGGTCGTTCAACTCTCTCTCTCTCACGCGCGCGTTCGTATACCGTTACAAAACTACGTATGTACGTACACGTACTTTGGCCTTTTGTTTTTTCTCGAATTATAACGTCCGAATTTTTCTTTCTTTTTTTTTTTTTTAATAATACGACGTACCTTCTTTCTCTTGGAGAGAACGTTGGTGAGGGCAGTGGGAACCTTGATCGATTGGAGAAGATTTCTTCCGCGATCGGCGAAGCTTGTGGCTTCTTTGGCCGGGGTGTTGTTTGCCTCGACGTCTTTGGTTTCTCCGTCGGCGTCGACCGCTGGCTTCGTCTCATCGTCCTGCAAACGGTAATCAAAGAAATGCGTTAAGTTTTACTTCGTATATATAATACGTATATTGACACGTGTGCGGTACGTTCGACCAACGTTACGTGAGTTAAAAAAGAATAAATAAATCAATGCCTCGTTTAAACAGAACGATAAGAGTCTTTTAACAATAAAATCGTATCATTAAAACTTCGCAGGAAGTTGGTAAATAAATTACATCGTGCCCACGAGAGCGTGGGCTTAATTTTTTCGGCTTAAACAAAAAAAAAAATAATAAAAATAACACAATGGGGGCAGGAAGAAAAACGAGACGTACAAAGGTCGCAGCGCAGCAAAAAGAGAGCGACGAGTCGTCTCCTCTCTAAGCGAAAAGGAGGATTTATCGATGTACGACGACGAGTATATAACTAAGATATATTTAGGGATACACGCGTGTAATACATATGGACGAATTGACGATCTGTGCGCGAGTACGACGACACGAGGGGTCGCCCACGCGACCGACTCTGTCCCTCTCTCGTGTGTTTTTTGACCTTCGACGCTTTTGCACAAAAGATATATACACATGGTATATATATAATATATAATCTGAACATCGTACACACAACCCGTGGTATATATATAGAAAGGAGTCGCAATAAGGATCCACGCGCGTGGGTGCGTGCGCGCCTGTGTATAATAAAGCTCTCAAGGTATACAGGGGGTCGCGCGCGCGCGCGCGGGAGGATCGCCAGAAACTTCGCGCAGCGAGGAGTGGCCAGCAGCAGCAGCTGCAGATTCTTCTTCCTTTTTTTCGCGACAAAAATTACGAGCGTCGAACGTTTGAAAAGACCCAAACTCGATCGTTGCTGCTGCATACGTAATTGAATCGTCGCGTGCCAAAAGAGCGAGGATTATTCTTCGCTCCCTTTGCACGTATTACATTAGATTGCATTAGTCATTTGGGCGACCCGAGCTCGCAACGTCGATAATTTCTCACGAATACTCGAGCGCGTTGATTTCTCTCATTGGCTCCATCGAACGCGTATCATGAGAAAACGAGCTCGAACACCCCTTTTTTTTCCAGCGTAACAGAGGTGTCGAGTCGTACGTATACACCATTACATCACGGCTGTTGAAATTTGTGATATTCCGGCTGTACGTCTATCTTCGATCGCTCATAATATACGTACGAGTATGTAAGTGCTGAATGAAGAAAAAGGGGTTCGAAATGAGCCAACGCCGGGGCAAATTATCCACTCGAAAACGATTATCGTCCTCGTGATTATCATCATCGTCGTCGTCATCATTGTCAAGAGAGAGAGAGAGAGAGAGAGACACATACATTTGTATTATGTTCATTTGACTATTTACTTTCGCTCGCGTTCTTTCAAGTGCTTTGAACTCCAGGCATCATCGGGGCCTATAGATGTATAGACTCTCCTGCGAGAAAGAGATTAAACGCAGGCATACACACACACATGCACAGCGGGTCATTATAATAAACGTCAGAGAGTCGAAGAAATATATTATAAATTATAGAAAATCGAAAACGTGCGTTTGCTATATACGGGGGTGAGAGCTGCAGGCAGTACAGTAATAATAACGTCCGAGTTAGTCCCAGCGAGCGGATTTCAGGGAAACGATGCGTGTGAGTGCGCGCACCTGCACCTGTCGCGCTATATACTACTCTGCTGCTGCTCGGGGCCCTCGAAACTCGTTGGCCCGTTCCCATCAGCTGTGCTACTACACTCGACGCTGGTGTCGGCGGTGCAAAATTTCGTGTATACGCAACGCGACGAGTCGATAACAGCAACAACAATAATATATATATATGTGTTCCAAGCTTCGAGCTCGTTACGGTAAGTATAATACACGTTATCGTATATATAGCTAGCTGCGCTATATAACGCACGCAACGCACAACGCAACTATCGAACTTCCGGTCCGTGGTACTTATGCTGTACGATGGATGCATTATGTACAGTGCGCGCATTATCATTGCAGCGCCGCAGTCGCATTCCTCGGATATCCGTTTGTCATTGATGCTTGACGGCGGCTATACGTATATCTCGTTCGCTGTGTAGCTACCTGCTGCTACTTACTGCTACTACTGTTGCTACGTTATATTATAGACGATCATCGTCGTCGTCGTCGTCGTCGTCGTCGTCATCGTAGTGGCGGCGCTGACATTATTAGTATAGGCGACCTAACTGCACACGAGTCAAATAAATGATCTTATAAACACATGTGTGCGCGCGCGCGCCTTGTAATAATCCAACTAAACCGCGCCTCCGCTGCCCTGTTACGTATCAACGCGAAAGCCTCTACAAAGCAAAGTTGCCGGAATCGTGTTTGTGCGCGTATGTGCAGTCGAGTGCAGTTGCAGCTCTCGGCGGCCTCTTGAACCCTACATGTATTTACGTTGAAGCCTCAATGCCAGCCTCTGTGTGTCTTTAATTCGAAATTCGATAACGCGGCGGACGGTGGCGACTCATGGCTTTCGTATTATTTTATACGCGTATGCGATTAATTATAGCAGTTGCACAGTGCAGTGCAGAAGGGGATGGAGGGAAAAAGGCCAGTGACTTTTGGGTAATCGGTCACGGTGTTTAATTATAAACTCGCAACGATCGTCGTTTATAACGCCTCAATTAGGCGGGCGAGAACCTTTGAATTTTTCCGACGCCATGATATATCGCGATTTGAAATACGAAATCATCCGACGTTCTACGCGATATAAAAAAATAACAACAACGAAAAAACAATGAATAAAAAAGTGTAATTTCCGCACGCGGACGATTCGCGACACGCGCAGCGCAGCGGCACGAGTAGACGCGCGCGCGCGCGGACGTAAGCCAATGCTCGATGTTGTTATTATATCGCGTGCATATATACGCGCACACACGCGTTTCGACGATAAAGAAGCCGTTAGGCGCGCGAGCGTCGTCGTATACACTATACAACATAAACACGGACAGAGGCATTAGACGCGCCTGCCACGCCTTTGGTGCCGCGCTGCGATGCCCGAACGCGACGCAACGCAAGCTTTTAGAATGACTTCGACGTATAGCTAGCTCGTGTACCTTATGTATATACTGCTACGATTCCATTGATTTTATTTCCTTTTTTTTTTTGCTTTGTTCTCTCATCTCGAAACGCAAAGAACTTTTAGCGGAATTAGAGAGAGAGATTTCGAATGTTATAGGATGGAGTTGCGGACGGAGAAAAAATAAGCTAGTCGAAGCAGAGGAGCTCTATTTTGCCGGGGCACACGCAGCGTGACATCGCGCGCGAAATCGAATATTGCATGTATAGCTGCTTGTATACTCACTGCAAGTATAAAATACACACAAGGGTACACAGAGGGGGAGAGTAGATACTCGTGTGCATGCGTTGTTAGTACACCGATCGGCAAGAGTTGAGAAAACCTAACACGTATATATATTCTCGCGTATTCCAAGGTATATAGAGCCTAATCCGCGCCTGTATGGCACAGGGCGAGCATTGTTTTTTTCTATTATATGTATATATGCTGTATATAAGCGCGACGCGTGCACACGCGTAGCCTATAACGGGCCCAGTCATAGTCCGTTCTCTCTCTCTCTCTCTATCGCGCGAATATTTCGAGGAGAGAGAGAGAGAGAGACGCGTGCGCGCGCTGCATAATGCAAAAGTCGCAAGTTCACTTCGCCTCGACAATCGACGCGCACACACATACATATATACCGGCGTCGCTTTGGCCCCCTTCGATATATAGAGAGAGAGAGAGAAAACTAAGCACACACGCGTGGTCGCGAGGGTCGGAAGCAGTACCAGCGGCAGTCTTTCTTCCCCCTGCGTGCGCTTATATACCACCGCGCGCGGGCAACACAATTTTTGCGCTCGTTCGCGCGCAGCTGCCACGCATGTACGTATGTATGTAGTAGTACTACACTACAACACTGCAGCTCACCGTGTCAACCCGACGATCTACATATGCACTATATATAACTGCACATCGTATATGTACGTAGCAGCGTATATATAAGAGAGAGATCCTGCTGCACCGGCTCTACGTACACGGAATACATACAAGAGCATATAGTCTGTCTCTAGTCAAGCTCGTACCGAGGCTGAAGGCGTTCTAGCGTGCACCGATATATCCCTGTATAAACTTTTATACTTTGCACAATTACAAGCTTGGACGAGCTGCTACTGCTCCTACACGAAGATTGGCGCTCTCCGGAGTATGTCCCGCCGCCGCCGCCTCGAGGCTTCCTTATCACCCCGCGCTCGAGCTACTGCTATTTAATACGAGACGAAGAAAAAAAAAATAAGGGAACGATTGCGTGCACGAATGCGCGCCGCGTGCTATATTAGAGAGCTGCAGGGCACTTTGCCAAGTATTCTCTCTTTTTCTTTTTAATTTGGCGCGCGCGCGACGATTCGGTATACGCGATTGTGGCCCATCTGGATAATACAAGATGGAAGAGGATTAAAGTTACGGAAAGAACTATAAGAATGCCGAGGGAATCTTGGCGACGATGGCAGAATTAAGCACGTTATAATATAGAGGTTGAGAGTATTGGGTTAAAGTGCATTCGAGAGTCTATGCTGCTGCTGCAGCGCACCAGAAGGAGATCGCGAGGGCACTCGCGAAACATTAACGATAACGTCGACGATATAATTATCCATATAGATATATAGTATAGTCAACGAGGAGAAGCTCGAAGCGCGCTCGGGATTATGTGCATAATAATATAATACGTGACGCGACGCGCCACGAGAGCAATCGATACCATCGGCAACGACGAGGCATTCATCCCCCGTGTACACCATGCCACCACCACCACCACCAGCACCGGCACTGCCACTGCTTACCTCGCAATATTATTCGCACGATCTATACAGGCATCGTATCTTCGAGAAGGGGAGAGTACACGAACGAGAGAAAACGAGAGCAACGCGACGAGAGAGAGAGAGAGAGAGAGAGACGAGACTGTTATATTATAAAGAGGGTGTGAGCTTCGCGCGCGAAAAAAAAAATGAGA